CCAGGAGCGCCTGGGAGCTGTTAACTATCTCATAGCATCCCCCACCTCAAACCTAAAGCCTAAGGTGTACCATGTTAATTCTCTAAAGCCCTTTTATTCCAGAGAATTAAAGGTTTGTCAGTTTACAGCCCAGGGAGGAGATGACGCTGAGTGGCCTGAAGGCGTCTACTAGGAAGGAAAAAGTGACGGTGGCGTGGAAGAGGTGAACCTCTCAATGACCCTCGGATGTATGCAGCGCCAACAGATCAAGCAGCTGTGCACTAGCTTCACGATGATGTTCTCAGCCACCCCAGGACTGACTGAACGGGCATATCACTCCATTGACACAGGTAATGCTCAACCAGTTAGAGCCCAACCATACCGGATGTCTCCTCAAGCCAAAACTGCTACAGAACGGGAGATCCGGGACATGCTACAGATGGGTGTAATCTGCCCCTCTGGCAGTGCAGGGGCATCTCCAGTGGTTCTAGTTCCCAAACCAGATGGGGAGATACCCTTTTGCGTGGACTACCGTAAGCTAAGTGCTGTAACTCACCCAGATAACTATCCAATGCCACGCACAGATGAGCTATGAGAGAAACTGGGACGGGCCCAGTTCATCTCTACCTTGGACTTAACCAAGGGGTACTGGCAGGTACCGCTGGATGAATCCGCCAAGGAAAGGTCAGCCTTCACCACACATGTAGGGCTGTATGAATGGAATGTACTCCCTTTCGGGCTGCAAAATGCACCCGCCACTTTCCAAAAACTTGTAGAAAGCCTCCTAGCAAGATTGGGAGAATCTGCAGTCACCTACCTTGATGATGTGGCCATCTTTTCTGATTCCTGGGCAGAACACCAGGAGCATCTGCAAAAAGTCTTCGAGCGCATAAGGGAGGCAGGACTAACTGTTAAGGCTAAAAAGTGTCAAATAGGCCTAAACAGAGTGACTTACCTTGGACACCAGGTGGGTCAAGGAACTATCAACCCCCTAAAGGTCAAAGTGACTGCCATCCAAAAGTGGCCTGTCCCAAAGACAAAGAAACAGGTCCAATCCTTCTTAGGCTTGGCCGGATATTACAGTCCATTTGTACCACACTACAGCCAAATTGCCGCCCCACTGACAGACCTAACCAAAAAGAAACAGCCAAATGCAGTTCAGTGGACTGAAGAGTGTCAGAAGGCCTTTAACCAGTTTAAAGTGACACTCATGTCTGACCCTGTGCTAAGGGCCCCAGACTTTGACAAACCTTTCCTAGTAACCACAGATGCCTCTGAGCGTGGTGTGGGAGCAGTTTTAATGCAGGAAGGACCGGATCAAGAATTCTGTCCTGTCGTGTTTCTCAGCAAAAAACTGTCTGAGAGGGAAAGCCAACGGTCAATCAGCGAAAAGGAATGTTACGCCATTGTGTTCACTTTGGAAAAGCTACGCCCATACGTTTGGGGACGGCGTTTCCACCTACAAACCGACCATGCTGCACTGAAGTGGCTTCATACCATCAAGGACAATAACAAAAAACTCCTTTAGCTCTCCAGATTTTGATTTTGAAATACAACACATTTCAGGAGCTTCTAACAAAGTGGCTGATGCACTCTCCCGTGAAAGTTTTCCAGAGTCAACTGGTTAAAATCATTCTTGAAATGTGGAAAATATTGTTAGGTTTTCTATAGTCAGCAGTATATCTAGAGGTGCATGTGTCTTATTAATTCTGTTTTCTCCTAGAGCTCCAGGAAGAAATCACAGCCAGCGTGCAGCAGGCTGTCCAGCACCATCTGTGATCTGGGGGGCATGTCATAACTATACAGCTACGGGTAGCATAAAATCCCTCCTTACCTGTAAAGGGTTAAGAAGCTCAGATAACCTATTTGGCACCTGACCAGAAGGACCAATGGGGAAAGAAGATACTTTCAAATCTGGGGGGCAGGGAAAGGCTTTGTTTGGTGCTCTGTGTGTGTTCTCCCCGGTGACAGAGGGAGAGACCAAGCAAGTAATCCAGCTCCCATTGAAATGATACATCTAATATTACAGAAATAGTAAGTAATAGCAAGGAAATGCATTAGAGTATCTTTTAACTTGTGAATTGTCCCTGTGTCAAGAGGGAGGTTTATCCCTGTTGTTGTAACTTTAAAGTTTTGCCTGGAGGGGAAATCCTCTGTGTTTTTGAATCTTTTTGTTACCCTGTAAAGTTATCTTCCATCCTGATTTTGCAGAGGTGATTCTTTTATCTTTTTTTAAAAATCCTTCTTTTAAGAACCTGACTGATTTCTCTATTGTCCTAAGACCCAGGGGTTTGGGTCTGTGACCACTTTGTAACCGACTGGTTAGGATATTATTCTCAAGCCTCCCCAGGAAAGGGGGTGTAAGGGCTTGGGGGGATATACTGGGGAACTAGGAACTCCAAGTGACCCTTTCCCTGGTTCTTTGTTAAATCACTTGGTGGTGGCAGTGTACCATCCAAGGGCAAAGAATTTGTGCCTTGGGGAAGTTTTAACCTAAGCTGGTAGAAATAAGCTTAGGGGGTCTTTCATGCAGGTCCCCACATCTGTACCCTAGAGTTCAGAGTGGGGAGGGAATTCTGACACAGCCCCTGCTCAGCTCCCAGGGCCAGACATGGGCACGCTGGTGGCTGTGGCTCTGAGACAACTGGAACAGCTGATCGGTGGCCCCTCCAAACAGCTGATCCGTGGTGTCTTTGGTGGCTCCGCTGAACAGCTGATCAGTGCCGCCACGGGATGCAGCCCACAAACCTTTCCAGTTCCGAAGATTCGGGGTTTTCCCTTCTGTTGGTAAACCATATGGTCAATTGCTCAACCACACTTTGGTTCATTCTGCAATATGCACTAGAGACCAAATAACCAGTATCCGTCCGGTTTATTGTTAAAAGTCAGTAACAGCATATTACAGGAACAAAGGTTCAATACAACTCCAATTTCTGGGAACCCGTCTCCTGCAGCAGTGCTGAATTCACCTTACTAAAAAGGCTTGCATCCAAAGTCAGACCCCTAAAGCTGTCCCTTTTATACTCAACCTGTTTACAAGGAAAGAGGTACTGTATGTATCCTCTGAGGCTAGTCTTAACCTACCATCTTTCTACCTTGTTTTTCTGGTACCATACGGTACCCCTTGGCTCTTTGTTCTGGACTCAGGAATTCCAGGTACCAAGAGCATGACGGCACCTCCTAGGCTTGTCCCATATATATTGTCCTTATTTTTGGAACATTCCGATGAGAGTAACTCCCTGCCTGTTACTACATATGTGCTGATCCTGACAGGTTTCCTGGCTAATGCGAGATATCATCAGAAATAGATTTAACCAGACTGATCTGCTATTATCCCCTGGGATTCAGAAGCTGTGAAAGTGGTGGAAAGCCATCTGGGACCCCTCCACGCTCTGGTCTCATAGTGAGCCCATCTCAGATGAGCCCATCTCAGCCAGCCCCAGGAATCTGGCCAGGTAAATCTAAGGGTGTTTCAGTGAATCTGAATGGAGTCTCAGTTGGTGTAACATGAGCATTGGAGGGAGCGGAGGAAATTGCACGTTACACCTAGGAGTAAATTCTAGCTCAAGGAGACATACCCGGGCCTCCTCTGACCTAGTTGGCATGCCAAAAATGGAAGCGTGGCCACGCTTGGGCAAGCAACAGGAGAGGCTCCCTGCCCCGACTACGATCCCATCCAAGACCACAGGTATGCACTCAGGCCGGCCAGCCCCTCCTGCCCCCATGGCAACACTTCTATTTCTAGCTAGATGAGAGCTAGCGCGACTATGTCTTCTCAAGCTGGAATATTCACCTTCCAGCCCCACTGCAGACAGACCCGTGGGCCCCTCTGGACTCTCCTAGCCCCACCCGAGTTCAGCCCATGGACTTTGTTCCACTCATCCAATGGATACACGTCACCTCGGGTTCCCATGGTGGCTCAGACGCTGTCAGGGCAGGTCGAGTTCTGAGGATTCTGAGCTTTGCAACCTCCTTATCTTCAAGAACTTAGACAGGATGCCAAGTCGACTCATGTCCTTTTGCATTATATCGTATCAACTGACAGTACTGCATACATGAAAGCACCGTCTTCTCAGCATGCCCTGCTCTCCTTCCTTCTGCCCGACCACTTCTCCCAGCCCCATAATCATTCACCTTGCTGAGTACCTATGGGGGATACTGACGACAGTGCAGAGGACCTAGCATCACTTCACACAATCTTCACACAGAAATGTGGAGTTGCAAGGGACCTCAGGAGGCCAAACAATCCACCCCCATGCACTGAGGCAGGACCAAGTGCACCTAGAACATCCCAAGCAGGTGTTTGTCCAACCTGTTCTTAAAACCCCCCCAATAACAGGGATTCCACAACCTCCCTAGGTCACCTGTTCCTGTGCTGAACCATCCTTAGAGTTAGAAAGCTTTTTCCTAATATCTAACCTAACTCTCCCTTGCTGCTAACTAAGGCAATTCCTTCTTGTCCTCCCCTTGGTGCACATGGGCACCAATTGATCACAGTCCTCTTTATAACAACCTCTTGCATATTTGCAGATTGTTATCATGTCCCCCCCTGTGCCATCTCTTCTCTGAACAAAACATGCCCAATTCTTTCAACCTTTCCTCACAGGTCATGTTTTCTAAACCTCTGATCATCAGGGCCACCTGGGGGGGGGCGTGGGCGGGCAAGTGGGGCAATTTGCCCCAGGCCCTTGGGCCCCGCAGAATACTATAGTATTGTAACTTTTTATCTGTTGCTCTCCTCTGGACTCTGTACAATTTGTCCTCATCCTTCCTGAAGCGCAGCACCCAGGTCTGGTCACGGTTCTCTCATGCCAAGTAGAGGAGAACAGTCACCTCCCATCTCTGACTCACCCCACTCCTGGTTAAGGTGATCCAGGTGCAGCGGGAGCCGGAGAGTGTTGCCATCACGGCCACGAACATGGCCCACCAGTCCCAGCAGGCGTCGAGCCTGGAGACCAAGGAGCCCTATGCTAGCCTCCAGGCCCTAACGCTGGGGGAGCCAGGGAGGCTTGGTGGTGGAGATGGCCTTCCCCGTCCACGCCACCGCGCCCCACGCTGCCCCCTTCCATGACGTCAAGAAGATCAGCATCATGGCCAAGCCCTGTGGGGACAAGACAGGCCCGGGCAGCGGAGCCTCGCCAGGTAGGGCCCAGCGCAGGCCTCGGGGGGTAGTGCCCCATGGCCTTCCTCCTCCATCAGGCTAGGGAGCTCCCTGCCCCCTGGTTAGTTCTGGGGTGGGGATAATTGAGGGACAGATCTAATTGGAGGGGAAAGGCCTCATGTCCGTGACCTCCATGACATAATTGTAGCCTTAACCATGAGAAAACTCCTACCCCAGAATATATTGGGCAGTGTCCTTTGCCTCAGTTTCTCCCCTGGCGGTGTGAAAGTCCAACAAATTCTCCTTTAACCTGCCTTTGCCCTTTCCCTCCCCTGCACCCCACTCACCAAATCTTCCACTTTTTAAAGGATCCCTTTTGGCCTCTCACTGCTTCTTGCACTTTGTTGTTTAGCCGTGGTGGCACTTTTTCGTTTCTCTTACTATGTTTTTTAATTTGGGGGCTGTGTTTAAAATGAGCCTCTATTAAAGTGTCTTTAAAAAGTTTCCATGCAACTTGTAGAGAGTTCACTTTCAGCACTGTACCTTTTAATGTCTCTTTGACTAACTTCCTCATTTTTGTGTAGTTCCCCTTTCTGAAATTAAACGCTCCAGTGCTGGGCTGCTGTGGCGTTCCCCCCCACCCAGGAATGGTAAATTTAATTATATTATGGTCACTATTACCAGCGGTTCTGCTATATTCACCCCTTGGACCAGATCCAGTGCTCCACTTAGGACTAAATCAAGAATTGCATCTCCTCTTGTGGCTCGCAGGACTAGCTGCTCCAAGAAACAGTCATTTAAGGTGTCCAGAAACTTTATCTCTGCATCCAGTCCTGAGGTGACATGTACCCAGCCAATCTGGGGCTAGTTGAAATCCCCTATTATTATTGAGGTTTTTATTGTTATAGCCTCTCTAATCTCCCTGAGCGTTTCACAGTCACTATCACCATCCTGGTCAGGTGGTCAGTAGTACCCCCCCACTGCTATATTATTATTCGAGCATGGAATTACTATCCATAGAGATTCCATCATACAGTTTGGTTCATTTAAGATTTGTACTTCATTTGACTCAATGCTTTCTACTGCCACTCCCCCAGCAGCGTGACCTGTTCTGTCCTTCCGATATATTTTGTACCCTGGTATTACTGTATCCCATTGATTATCCTCATTCCACCAACTTTCTGTGATGCCCATTATATCCATATCCTCATTTAATATGACACACTCTAGTTCACCTATCTTATTATTTAGACTTTTAGCATTGGTGTATAAGTACTTTAAAAACCTGTCACTTTTTAGCTGTCTGCCATTACATGATCTAATTGAATGGGACTCTTTTTCAATTGTCTGTTTCTCATCAGATCCTACCTGTATTTTAGCATCTTCCATCCTCACATGTTGGCTTTCCCTCAGCCCTTAGTTTAAAAAGTGCTCTATGACCTCTTTAATTTTAAGTGCCAGCTATCTGGTTCCATTTTGGTTTACATGGAGCCCATCCTTCCTGTAGACTCCCCCTTTCCCAAAAGGTTCCCCAGTTCCGAATAAATCTAACCCTCTCCTCCCTACACCATCATCTCATCCATGCATGGAGACCCTGCAGTTCTGCCTGTCTAACTGGCCATATGCATGGAACCATAACCCTAACCCTAGACTTCAATCTCTTACCCAGCAGCCTAAATTTTGCCTCCAGGATCTCTCTCCCATCCTTTCCTATGTCACTGGTACCTACATGTATCACGACCACCTGCTCCTCTCCAGCACCTCACATACGTCTGTCTAGATGTCTTGAGAGGTCTGCAACCTTCGCACCAGACAAGCAAGTCACCATGGGGATCTCCCAGTCATCGCAAACCCAGCTATCTATGTTTCTAATGATTGAATCCCCCCTTACCATTGCCTATCTCTTATCAATAACTGGAGTTCCCTCCCCTGGAGAGGTATCCTCAGTGTGAGAGGATACCATGGCATCCTCTGGAAGGAGGGTCCCAAATATGGGATTGTTTCCCTCTGCTCCACTTCGATGTTCTCCTTCCCTGAGCCTTTCATCCTCCTCAATAGCACAGAGGCTGTTGGACCGGAGGTGGGACCGTTCTGCCATGTCCCAGGAATCCTCCAGCAGCCTAAGGACCCCACTAAATGGATGCTTGCGTACAAACTGCTAAGATGCTTGCCAGACCCAAGTGACTATTTTCCCAAGACCAATGTAGACGTCTCATCCCTTTCCTTTGTTTCCATCCCCCAGCTGCTCAGGAGCCAGCTATAGCATTTATCCAGGTTTGAAACTGTTGGTAAATTTCAGGCTGAAATGTAATTTACCAGCTGAGGCCCCCATTCTCTGCTGTGCCCCTTCTGGGAAGGGGGCCCTCGGGGAATCTCATTGGCAGATACTACACCAGCCTTGTTGGGGGCTGGAGCAGCCCGGGGGGCGGGGGGAGGACGGGGGGCTGATTTAAATCTCAATGGCTGATAATGGTCGCTACAGTCCATCCCTGCCCTGCCTCCTATGCTGGAGCTGGAGGAGAGGCTGGCTCAGGGGCTACCTACGCTGGCCCCACCCTACGGGGGCCTCCCCTCCCTCGGGGACATGCAGTCAGTGTCCGTACACAGGGAGCTGAGGGGCTCAGGGGCTCAGACCGGCAGGGCATATAGCAAATATCACGGTTCCTATTCCCTGTTCACTCTCACTGGCTGTAACAGCAACTGTGCCCAGAAACCTTATGGATGGAGGCCAGGCGTCCACAAACGTCACTGGGTGAGTGGAGGCCGGCTGCTCAAAACCTGATTGATGGGGGAAGTGGGTTCACCCAAGCCTGATTGTGGGGGTGGGACCATCTAAAATCTTCTCTGTTCAGGGCTGCTTTTCTGCCAGAGTGTCTCCTCCGGCAGAGAAGAACTCGTGCAGCTGCTGGATAAAGCATTCTCCATCAACAGCTCTTCTTCTCCCGCTCCCTCCCCTGCAACCTCCAGCGAAACATGAAAAAGACTTTGGAAACGAAACGCACAAAAGAAGGGAAATAAAAAGTTCAGCCAGCTACCAGCACGTGCCCGCAACTTCTCCACTCCAGGCAGGCTGCACGGTTACCCTGACTGCTGCGCCACCCACTGCAAGCTTAGCGCTGGCCCCCCCCCCAGGAACGCCAGCCTTTCGCCAGCCACGTGCACTCAGCCCTTCGCCAAATGACTCTGCCAACAGAACCAGCTACGGCTCCAAACAGCCACAGCCACGAGAGCTGGGGGAGAACTGAGCTGGGGAGGGGAGCAGCGTTCAGGTCGCAGGGCGCAGTCTGTGGCGTGCGGGGACGTGTAACTCAGCCAGGGGTAAGCAGGGAGCCTCACTAGCTCTTGGTGTCTGGGATTTGCCTCCGTCCTTGGCTTGGTAGTCTGGTTCCAGCAGCCTCCGCCCTGAGTCTGAGCTCAGTTTCCTCAGGGTAGACGGAGGGTCGTTTCTGACGAGCGTCCTCATTTTTAATAAACGCCCCATTTCTAACCCCTGGGCTCATTCTGGGCACGACCCCACCCCAGAGCAGGTGGCAGTTCATAATATAAAGCTGGATCCTCAGCTGGTGTAAATGGGTGTGTGGACTCCTTTGGACTGAGGCCCATTTACACCAGTTGGGGATCTGGGAATATCTGTAGTTCTACACTGGTAACTTGTGTTTGTGAATCTAACCCTTAAGGGTGCCTAGGGATGTGTTGTTCTCAAGTTGACAGAGGAGGAAAGAAGGCAGGTGAACCATACCACACTGCTCAGCACAATCCAGACAGGACGGAGCTAGTCACCAGGAAACGTCTGAGAAAGGGGAAGTCACTGAGCAGAAACTTTATATGGGCAAAACCCACATGTGTGCAGTGTTTTTTCTCAGTGGAAGGTTGATCTATTTGGAGGAAGCATGTTTATGACACGGATTGGACCAGAACTGTTCCTCTAGGTGGGAGCCACAAGAAAAGGGAACCTGGTAAGATCCACACATGAGAGTGATCATAGGAGGAGGAGCTTGAGTGTATTTCCCTGCCTCTCTTCACCTTGAGCTCACAGACAACAGGATGGCAGGACTGGAGAGCCCCAAGTCCTGATGTTCTGTCTGCATCTCCAAGACGACAGCTGCAGACAAGAGCTATAATTACACCTGTGACTTGGACACCACCATCTCACGCATAAGGAGCCGCACTGTGATCTGGATAAAGATCTGTTCTTTTGTTTGTTTTTTGTTAAGAAGAGCTACGTCTCAGAAAATGACTTAAGCATTACAACTGCACCACCTTAGAAGACTACTTACAGCAGTAAGTGCAGGGAGAGCGATAGCTCAGTGATTTGAGCATTGGCCTGCTAAATCCAGCATTGTGAGTTCAATCCTTGAGGGGGCCATTTAGGGATCTGGGGCAAAAATTGAGGATTGGTCCTGCTTTGAGCAGGGGGTTGGATTTGGTGACCTCCTGAGGTCCCTTCTAACCCTGATATTCTATGATTCTAACCCCAGGACACTGACACCTCCAACCATTATGTTAGCAACCAACCACTCAGTATGGGCACCTCTTAAGTTTCACTGAATGCAGGATTTAAAAGGTTGTGACCAGATACTTCACACCAGTTAATTTTAATGAGGGGGATGGAACACTGGCCAGAACAGGGAAATAACAGATAAGTTAACAGATCAAGAATATTTAACTAAGTTAGATCTATGCAACTCGGCAGGGCCTGATGAAATTCACCCTAGAGTACTTAAGAAACTAGCTGAAGCAATCGCCGAACCATTAGCGATTATCTTCCAGAACTCATGGAGGATGGGTGAGGTTCATAACAAGGGCACACTTCAAAAAAAGGTAAAAAGGAGCTCTTAGAGAAGAATAGACCAGACAGCCTAACTTCAGTACTCAGAAAGATAGTGGAACAAATGATTGAACTACCAATTTATTAAAACCTAGAGGATAATAAGTGATAAGTAATAACCAACATGGATTTGTCCAGAACAAGTCATGCCAAACAAACATAATTGCCTTCTTTGATTGGGTACCCAGTCTAGTGGATGGGGGGAAGCGGTGG